GATGGTTAATTTCGAAACGTTAAGCCCTTGTCCTACTTCCTGAGCAGTGATGTGCCGATCTACTTCGGTTAACATTTTGAGTATCGTTTAAACTGATGATAGTCTCCCTAAGGGTTGCCGGTCTTCGAAGGCAAATTCACTTTGTTTGGATTCCGCAAACTAGTCATGCACTGTACGTTTCTCTAGGGCATGGTATACTCAAACGTCATATATCTTTCATACGGCTTGAGCCGCATTCTAGGCCTTGCGGTAGAAGAAATACTTCAGATGTCAAAAATGCGCGTAGTAGTTCTCCATTTTCATACGAGTCCTGTACAGAAAAACTTCGACAGATCTTGACAGTATCCTAACAGGAATATAGAGGAAGAACTACTCTTTCAGAAAACATATAACTTTATCGGGTTGGGTCCTTGATCTTTTGTACAACGGTTGATAAATCCAAGGTGTCAAAAATTGGCGGAAACTTGCCATTGCCATTGCAGCCGACTAGCCAATATAGCTTTGTCCTGGAACCTTGTCGGACGCTGGTGGCTGGGGGTGCTCATACATCTCGATTTGTTTGGTTAAGACCGCGCGCATCACCTTCTGGTTGGGACATCAGTCGTTGGATCATTCAGTAAATTTCACTCAAACTGACTGCACACCCAGAACTTCTGAAGCATACATTTTCTTTAGCACGATTTGCTACGGCGGCTTCCCTCGTGGGCACTCGATTACAGACAACATGCACTTCGCATAGGTTCACGTCAATGTCGCTTTATGCCTCTTCTACAGTGATGTTCCCCCCTACGTTGAAAAATATGGTTTCATGTGTCGCTTCTAGTGCCGATCATTTGGTCCAAGACACAACACTCATTACAGGGGTTCCTTCTGTCCGAGGACCACGTTATGTTCTGTATCATGTTACACAAGCAGTGTCTCGAGCAGCTTCTCCGAGGCTTTTCCTCAGCAACCCAACCGACACACCGAAAACGTCTTACCACGGCGCATGCGGTTGTAGAGACACCTCTCTCGGATCCGTCGTAGATCTTTTCCAGTGCTTCTAGCACGAATATCACGATCTTCCCTTTATAGCATGCTCTGGAGACATCGACAGAATCTACACCACTGCATATCAACATTTCCAAAGATAATCTCACCAACAAATCTTGCACCTCTTCGAATTAGCGTCGGAATGCTTGCAGCTGATGTTGTCATTTTTATTTTGGTTAATCAATGACCTTGATTTCAGTGGCATTAGACTACAACTGCTTGGCTCACCTCGATGCCATCATTGTTTTCGGTGACGTTAACTTTACTCCGTTATAGTCCACTCAAGCAGGCGTGGATTTGACGAGACACTAATCCCCGCCACGGATATAATCTGCTTAGTTTCTTGCGACTCACATTCGTCGCTGTTCGTGGCCGCGACAGGGACCGAACACTGAAGCGAGCACGTTCATTTCAGGCATCGTGCTTCGATGTCTGTCTTCCCTAGTTCCTCAGTGTTCATGAATACACCCGGAATACGTCATCTGTAGCAGAGCAACGCTTACTAGAGGCGCTCACAGTACATCGGCGAGAACGTAAGAAAGGTAATAATTAGGTTCGAATCTATTCACTTAGCACCTTCCTCGCATATCCACTCACCCATCTGTGGGTGACCTCCCTTAGTTGGTTAGCTGGTGACCTTTCTGGCAGTTTCAGTGAACTGATACGGATTTTATGAGTTGGAAACTTTAGTGCTATCATTATTATTGTTATTATTATTACGCGTTCCAAAATAATATGCGGCGAGGACAAGATAATGTGAAAATTCAAGTTCATGATATTATATGGGAACCGTGAGGCCTTATTGGCGGCGTATCTAAGCATTTTTCTGCAAAGTTACTCTAATTCCTGTTCACTTGGTCCATTCCTCGATATCTCTTCGGTAAAAAAGCACTTACAGCCTCATGCTATCTGTGCCCGATGAAGGTTCATAAACAAGAGGTGGTACAGTATATTGTGGAGGGCGAGCTAAATACAGGAATCCGTAGGAATAAGAAAGAGCAACAGTAGCAGCTAATGCTGAGTTGAAGCCGGAGAGGGCGCTGCGGTCGAACTTAGGGGAGTACAAGTGAGACGTGCTCATGCGATGACAAACACAGCATAGAGGTGATTTATGACACTTTCATTCACATGCTTCAGTATCTTCAAGTGACCTACTAGCGGTGTACAAAAAATTGCAAGATATAAAGGCTTCGAATTTTCACAATGTTTTGTCCTTACCGCATATTATTTCAAAATGCGTAATGAAAAGGATAAAGGATAAAATTTTTGGCGTTAATCAATCCCGTCCGAGGGATGCGCCCCCGCACTCGACTTCCATTCTGAATCGTAGTGGCGTAATGAGTGCGTATGTGGCCTGTACAATGACTTGAGGTGGTCAGCCGATCTACAAGTCAGTGCTTTTATCCTCCCATACGAGTCTGGTACCAATTCACCGACCCCGAAGGGATGGAAGGCTTGGCTGGCCTAGGCGGGCATCGATCCGGGATTTGAACCCCTGACCGTGCGTGTGATATAGTGCACCACTTGCCACTACACCACCTCCGCCCAAAAAATGCGTAATAATAATAATAATAATAGTAATAGTAATAGTAATAATAATAATAACAATAAACTTTGCAACCCATAAAATCAATATCAATTTAATTAGACTGCTCGAGAGGTCAGCAGCCAATCAGTATGCGAGGCCACACCACAGGCGAGTGAGTGGATGTGCAAGAAAGAAGCCATGTAAGTTGATCTGGACCTAAATTGGTTCACCCACACGTTAATAATATCCATGTCGCGTTTCAACGGTGCCTTCAAGCAGTACGCATATTTACAAAATTCTGCAATTTCGACCTTGACGGTGTCGCACGGGTCAGCGTGCTCCTTAGCAAGGCACACTTGAACTTGTCCTGTGACGTGTATCATCAGTATCTCGGTATAAGTTACAGTGAACACATGGTGAACGCCCTCCGCTACTTTATATCGTTACACCATGAGGAGACGATGTTACCATTACGGGTTTATCGTCTACTGGAGTGGAAAGCGGACCGCTTGATCAACTTCAACAGCTATAGGGTAATTCGATGGTCGCTCGCCTACGCATGAGTACACTCTTGCAGCAGCAGGCGCCGTGTTAGCTGCTCGAGCAGTCCTTATAGATGACAGACAGACACACGACGTTACAACAGTCGTTCTGAGTATGGCAGCCTTTCCTTTCCGGCTTCACATCGCGAGCTACGAAGGATAACGTCAGAATCCGGCTGACGTTGTGGATTACTAACTCAGCCATGGTAACACAAACTACAATTGTTTACACATCGCTCAATTTCACTGCTGAGGTGCTCAGTGTGAAACTCCATTCCGTACCACCAATTCACCGCGCCGTCCACCGCGCATTCGTGATGGGGTTATGGGTCCACCGGTCAACACCTAATGCGTACCAGTCCACATAAGCGCAAGTTTGTGTCAAGTAACTTCCGAGACAGAACCACTGTTTGAGGTCCCTGTAAGTGAGAACCGGTTCGAAGATGTTGCGAAGAACGCGCCATCAGTCAACAACATTATCGTGAATACGGCTATGGCAGCACTCGCAGTATCTATGAAGGCCACAGCATAACCACGTCCCTATCCATCACGACGATGCGCCATCGCTCCTCCACACTTCTCTTTTTTGCGATACAAATTGCGTGTGAATATTGTTCTATCCTAGCGACATAGTCAGCTTACGGTACAGCAAAAACGGTCGAAGGGAAGATAATAGCAGCTCTTGTGGCGGCACCTGGACAATTGGTGATAGCCACCGCCTCCACGAACGTGGCGGTTGTCTAATGCGCAGGAACAATACTCAAAACTAACTAAATACCAACATATGCCCGTCGTCCGATCGGTCGATGATACAGCTCAATGTGAAGGAGTGCTGGTCACATCAGTCGATCTCCACAGAATACTCCAAGAGATTCTGACCAATTTCGTGACGTCTTCAGTTCAGGGGAAGTATGTAGAACGCCTGAACGAGAAGGCAAGCAGTCGACGGCTGATTTAAAGTAACTCTCACACAGCGAGGGTACAGTCCATCTCACAGACGAGGAACGCGAAGAGATCAGGCTTCAGAGTACTGAAAGTTCGGAGACCATGAATACCCGATGCGACTCATGATACGCGTACGATTCCCCTCCATATTCTTCACGAGGACATTATCACTTCTCAAATCGACGTCTCTTCCGTAAATTACTCCTATGCTGCAAAGTCATTACTGAGAATGAAGCCTGGCTAATCCCAGAGGTGTGGTGCAGTGGGAACGAAATTGTCGCTTTGCGGCAAGAGTGATGAAGCGCGCAAAGGAATGTAGCATAATGCAGCAGCAAGTAAGGAATTTAGGAACAAATGAACAACAGCAATATCCATGTTATGTTGTGTTTATTACGCTACTAAGGCGAACGTAGTATAAAAATGATAACAACCATCTGAAATCAACTCGAATAACGGAGCAAATACAAGGAACACATGTAAATGAAGCGTAATCGTACAAAGATAACCACGTAAAATAAGGCAAGTAGCGTGACTCCAAGGTCGGATATAAAACAAAAGTGTAGAAGAAGAAATGGCTAACCGCAAGGAACTATGAAAGCTTATGTTTGAATAAAATTACTTTCACAGCGTTCTTAGACATGAAATCCGGAGCATACATGTTTTTGTTACCTTTTTGTAGAGGCTGCCATAAGTGATAATCGCATAGCGACTAAGCTGTATGAAGAACGCTAGAAGTGTATTAGCGAGGCAAATGGTCCGCGACAGCCGCGTGCGACGGATCGATTACACAAAAGCGTTCCTACTGCCCGCTTCCCGACTCCCGGTACCAGCTTTTAACGACATCGCCTCGCGATTTTCTGTGGCTTGACAAATCTACATCGCCGACGTACATCAATTCGCATCTCACCTTCGCTGTCCCTCTTCATCGGTGCCGGCGAATCGTAGGGGAGGACATGGATATTTTGATAGGAAAGTCTTCTCGCGTCACTAGTGACTACATTGGGACACACCCATCTCTCAACGCTGTTCCAAATCGCTCAGCCTTTAATGGATCTTTGGATAGCGGAACATGTGCTTCGGACCACTCCAACGAGGATGAAGCACGAAGCTGTGTGAATCTGCGTGGAGCTGGTGTGTGCTCTGTTGGCCAAGAATTTTTCCAGATCAGGGACTGCGATCATTACGTACTACAAAGCCTTACATCTCAGCAGCGCCTTCTGCAGATAGGGGCTCGTTGATTAGGTGTTGCTCTGCACACCGTCGACACGGTCCAAGACATGAAATGGATATCGTTATCATCCCTTGACACGCTCCGAAGTAACTCCTTCGACAGAAGAATTTTGAATAACAGAAAACGCGCCTTAACGTTGCGATCACATGCTGCCAACATGAAAGATTTGTATTGGGTAATCTACAGACTCCTCAGGAGTTAACAAATTGGAACCGCGTCATAAATCGCACTCTATGAATGACGTCATCGTCAACGACTCGAGTTCCCAAACCCATCCGCAAAACCCACAAAACATCCTTACTATTTATAAAGCGCCGCGCCTGTTTGTACAGAAATTCGATATTACCTGACGAAACACGTGCAGAAGTCAGGTTAAGTTCGTGATGGGAAAGGAGGAACAGAGCACATGTGAGCTCAGCGGAGCTCCGCCCACAAAGGGGGGGGGGACGTACACACGAGTGAGCGAGGCCATGGGCAAATTCTTCTCATTCGGTCTCATAATAGTCCAGACACCGGAAAAAATTGTACAAAGGTGCAAGATGGGTCAACCATTTAAAGAAAAGAAATTTACTGGCGGTGAGCGGAGCGTTCTCGCAGTGGGCGGTCCTTTCCACAGAGATTCACAACCCGATTCAACGAAAGCGCCGAGACCAGGAAAAAAATAAGAGTGAGCAAGTTCTTATGAGTGCTGAGCATGCGTAAGCTTAGAGAAGTGCCGTCCACGATGGGTTGAGCGTTCGTTGAGATGAAAGCTTTTTTTTCAAAAATGAATGTAAGTTCGTTCGGAAACGTTCTAGAATGCGGGAAAAAGTGGTTAGAGGTAATGGAACAAATGCGGTCAAACACTCGAAGTGGGCGGGGTTGGCGCTAAAGGCTGCAGGGCTTAGATCGGAAGTTAATAGCTCTGCTTAGAAAGTCTCACAAGGATGGCAGTTTGTGGTTGTTGGGCACCTGTACTTTCCGGGTACCGTGCTCTTCAGCCCTTACACTATCGAGATCCCACTTGACCTCGCCTTCTTGATGGCTTAAAGGCCATAGCTTATCAGCACTCACAGGTACAACGTGTTCAGCCAGTCGGCCAATATCAACACAGAACGGCCAAGCTGTAGCTCTAATTAGTTATAATTTGTTTTGACTTAACTTTTGTTTAATTTTTTATTAATTTTGTTAATTTTTTATCAATGCTATCGTTGTGAAACTTTCCCACCGCGTACTGCGGCGATTTAACAGCAGTTAACAAAACATCAAGTCAAAACAAGTTATATTTGCTCGGCAACGTTCTATGCATGAGAAGAAGTGGTTAGAGGTATTGGAGCAAATGTGGACAAGTCCTCGCAGTGGGCGGAGCTGGCCCAAGAAATCGGAGCTAGGACCAAAAATTATCTCATTAAAAATTTCCAGAATTCGGAAAAGATGGTTAGGAGCAGGTAAAAGAAGGGTGGTCATATTTTTATAGTGGGAAGGGTCTGCATGAGGTAGACGGAGCTATGATCAACTACCAATAATTCTTTCCTATTCTGATAACCGAACATTCCGCTGAACGACCCAATCGTAGATAAGCGGTCTTTGACAAATGACAAAAGACAAAGCACGCGTAAGCGTGCGTGGCTTAACTGCTATTTTATAAACAGTGAGTATTTCCTCCCTTCTTTTCCTTCTTTTACCACGAGCCCCAGAACGGACTTTTTTTCTTACGGAAGGGGACTTGGGAAGAGTAGAGATTGGGGTGTGGTCAATAGATGATGTTTCGAGTACAGTAAGCTCAATGCGACGCTGATGACGAGAACTGATTACAAGAGGCGGCAAAGGAAGTGGAGGAAGTCGGAGGAGGACAACAATCGACGGAGCTTGCGGAAGGAGCCAGAGACGAGAACTACCACTACGATCTCCCGTGGTCTCGAGTCCGAAGAAGCTCAGCACACCCGGTTTTTAGTGCCTATTATAATAGTTGCTATTATTGTATATATTCGATAAGTGGAATTCGGTGCTATCGTATCGGCTGCACACTTGGAGGGGCAAAACCAGGACCTATCACTATATCACTGTTTTCGGCATATGAATACCCACGAGTAGCTTGCCAAGCTCTGATACGTGGCGCAACCCACTCTTTGCCGTGTGGACATGCAAAACGTGCCGTTGAAGTGCCATTTATATACATATATATATATAGACATAAGTACAAAATATATAAATTTAAACATATCGCGTGCACTAGGGGCTCTAGCCAAGAGGGGCGGAGCCACATGAGCTGATTTTCATTACAGACTTCTACCGGATTTGTGAGTTTCCGCTCAAACCCTGCCTCCTGTGGGCGGAGCCTGGTCCTGCTACCCACCATATGTGTTCCCATCCTGTCACCTGTGCTCCTACAAGCTTGAACGCTCTAGTTCCGATGGGACAGGACCTATGAGTTTCCGCTGAAACCCCGCACCCTGTGGGCGGAGTCTGGTCCTGCCAGCCACCATAAGTGTTCCCATCTCGCTGCCTATACTCCTTCCAACTTTGAACTTTCTTGGTCCACGAGGACAGGAGTTATGTTTTCCAAAATGTTTTCATGAAGCATTGCATTTTTAGAGGATGCCCCGCCCATCGGAGGTGGGTCTCCCCAGTTCGATCTAACTTACCAATGCACACCTCTAGCCACCTTTAAACCCCAGTTTTGAAGCCGTCTTGTGACCGAGTTCGGAATCATGGTCCTCAGTGCAGCTCATTTCGATGCACGCCACGCCCACTGTGGAAGGGCTCCGCCAAGCTGATGTGTGCTTTAGACTTTTTGAGAAATGGCCCACCCATCCCATGCTTGACCCGGTCTCTCCAGGCAGATCTAAAGGAGCTAAGGAATTTCGTGACAAACATACAGACAGAACGACAGACAGACAGACGACAGGCGAGGCGCTTTATAGTAAGTAGGATATATAACTGACAAACTATATGCTTATATGAAAAGTAGCGAAGAAGAAATGAAGGCTTCAATTCAACTTCTGTGGAGCATTAGAAAACGGTGGCGAGAGATTCGGGAGCATACAAAGCAGCATCTGATGGCAGAGTCGGAAGTATGTGGAAGAGCAACACTATGAATCGCAATCACTATCCAAAAATTCTGCCTTTCAGCTATGCGACCAACACTCTGTCATCGCTCGAGGCTCGTTAGTGACTGAGTTATGACATCACGAAATAGGTAAATACTCGTTTTGGGCATTCAAGTGAAGAAAATAAAGATATGCTTCGTATAAAGAGCCGATTAGAAGTAACGCACTGAGAATACGTGAACTAATCATAAGAAGGTACCAGAAGAGTCTACCTTGTTCTCGAAGAACTCCTAATTTGAAGTATTGGTTCAAGTAGATTAATAACCTAATCATGCAATAGCAAATAGTGCACGAAAGAAACTTTCCAAAGTAAAAATTCCACCAAAAGGAAAAATATAAGGGCAGAATGAAGAACAAGGTGATAATTCATTGCCTATCATTACTAATATTATCTTAACTGCACATTCAACAAAATTAGTTTATTTGTAGTATTACTATCGATGTAGAATTTATAGCCTTTGAGGTTCGACTGACTACTTATTCTTGCATGTGAACATTCAAAGCTCTTGTCTCTCTGTTTTTATTGGTACGCTTTCGGCGTTAAATGCTTTCGTTAAATTTTAAGTTTACGATAGATGCATACAATCAGTCAACAAACACATACAACTACTAAAAAATATTGCGGTTTTCCTAGACTCTGTGGCTGAATTCTCGTTCTCCTTTAGTGGACTGGCACAAGAGCCACAACTACTCATATTAGGTCTGACCAAGCCGATCAAGTTACGTCTGCGTACATTCGGTAAGAATTGCGTACAAAAATGTATAAGCTGTAAACCTCCGAAAATTTGGGATAGCAACGGAGAACCGTCTGGTAGGTAAGCTATCCGCGTACAACAAGAGAACCTCTCAATTAGTGTACGCGAATAGTTCGCCTGCCACGCGATTTTCAGTTGCTATTTCAAATTTCCAGAGCTACTGTTCAGAGCTTCCCAGTGGTATTCCTCAGAGCCGTAAACCTTGGAGCTGCTCACACTTGAGTTTTTGACAACTACATCGAGAGCTCCTAAATTAATGGAAGAAGACATCACGATTCTGAAAGCACTGGAGTGTCCGATAAGTTTCGATCGTAAGAAAGCAATAACGAAACCGTTGAAACTGGTTGGTTTTTACAAACTATGGCAACTTCTTCGCGAAGATCAAGCACATACTTGTCTTCCTTCAGGATTGCATTCAATACCAACTCATCTGGAACATCACCTAAAAGGGCGAATTCAAACAACTCGTCTAATTGCCTAAGTATTAGAAGAAATCGGAAATTAAGAAGATCCGAGAATTTCGATCGAAAGTGAGAGCAACTTTGGTCGTTGGAAACACGAGTAAACGCATTCTCGACGAGAAAACTCTAGAGGAAACGGGCGAAGAGGAATCGTTGGGAAATATTGACTCTTGGAGCGGGACGGTATAGAAGAGTTCGTCTAAGCGTAAGATGAGGTACAGTCACTAGAATATAAAAAAGGTTGGGAAAATTTTGTCAGGACCATTGAGCGTAAAAACGACGATTGTTACGTACGTCTGCCTCGTGAGGAAATCCCAATGAAATTATTTGATAATAGAGCTATCGCGTTAAGAAGGCTGATGGGCGTATGAGCCTCGCTTCAAAAGGATAAGGATCTTCTGAAAAATACAATGAAATTTTTCAGGAACAACTGCGTTTTGATATCGTAGAGGACTTGACAGATGAGCATAAGCCAGTCAAGGGCTAAATTCATTACTTTCCTCACTAGACGGTGTTGACACCGCAAAAGAATACGACGAAAGCACGGGTGGTATCCGATGCAACAAATTCTCCCTGTTTCAATTGTGCATTTCATCGGGGGCCAGTAATTATGCCGAAACTTTCTGGAATTATTCCACAATTTTGGGCAGTCGCGCTGATCTCAGATGTAAAGAGGGCCTTCTTTCGAGTTCAAAAGGTGGG